ACAACAAACACAAACACTAGACACGACAAATACAAGAAAAACCAGAAAAATGTCTAAATTAATAATGTATGTCCTTAGAGCTGATATAGATTCAAATCTTCACCGACAATGGTGCCAATATAACTTGATAGTGAAGTTTTTAATTAAACTCAAATTTCCACTACTACAAGTGCACATGTCATATACGAGTATAGGGAATATTCGAATTTTGATACCACATGAAAGATGAGTCAATTATTGATATTATTTGAATTTCTTTATTATTTAGACAATCACAAGTTCGAGAAATTAAATCTATACTACAAATATGTGATAAAAAGGAAATCAAAAAACAACAATGAAAGACTCCTAGGCTTGGATTTCTCTTTACCCTTGCTAGTTGAACGAACCCAGTTATCGTGTTGCAACCCCTTAGTTAGACTACACCATAATTTTCTAATGTATGTGAAAGTTTCTTTCACTAGTAAATCAACTATATCTATAACTAATTCATACTTCCTTTTGTGATCATGAAACTAGCTAGAAGCTCATTAGATCTAGAAAATTACTAAGTAAAATTATAAAGATGCACCTCTACTTCCGTTAGTGTATTCCCTCAGTTTCATACTTTTACAAAGTGGCATTGAACAATAACTTTGATTCATCATCCAACACCTCATATGGTTTACAACTAATGACCAAACAATTGCAAACTTGAAATCCAAAAGCATGAAATAACTTGCTTAAAGGATATACACAACAACCATGTTCAAATCAACTGTATAAAGAAGAGATTAAACCTCATCTAAGCATGAATCTTAGAACAATATAAATGAAATTAAAGAAAATACCAAAACTTGTATTATAATTAAACATAGAGTCAGCCTGAGATCTTATGTCACAAGGAGTTGGCTGAAGCACAATACGAGAAAATTTGGGAGTATTGTGTTGAGATAAAGAAGATGCATGAAGGGAGTACAATGGAGATAATGTTTACTCCATTTAAAGGATTAGGGGGTAATCCTAAATTCATGAGATTGTGCTACTGTTTAGAACTACTGAAGAAGGGATTCAAGGATGACTATAGGCCAATAATAGGCCTGGATGGTTGCCATCTAAAATGAATTTATAGAGGACAGTTACTAACTGCTATTGCTGCAGATCCGAATAATGGATGGTGGTCCATTGCTTGGGTAGTTGTGGAAAGAGAAGCAACTGAGCAGTGGGCTTGGTTTCTCAAATATCTAAGTGAGGACTTGGAAATCGAAAATCAGTGCCACTATACCTTTATATCAGATCAGCAAAAGGTGTGATATTAACAATATATGAAACTTTCAAAGTCAAAATTCCTTTCAAATATGGTAGAAGCTAATAGCCTATCATGATTCCATTGAAGGGGCTAGACAGGGCACTTACTGAAGTTCTACCGGGATGTGAGCACAGGTATTTTGTTATCCTTTCAAACATATACATTTTTATCAAGCTTTTTTGCATTATAATTTTTTAACTGTTTAATAACAACTTAAATGACTTTGTGAGGATAGGTACTGTGTCCAACATATGTATCGCAATTTCAAGAAAAAGCATCCTAGTTTAGCTCTTAAAGACAGGTTATGGAATATAGCATGTTGCACAACAGTGAAAATATACAGCAAAGCTATGGATAAAATTCAAACTTTTGATAAGGATGCATATGAATGGGTCAAGAAAGCTCCTCATCCTCGACATTAGTGCAAGGCATACTTTCCAACTCACGTCAAGAGTGATATGATAGTGAACAACTTATGCAAGTCCTTCAATGCTCATATTGAAGATAAAAGGGACCAACCTATCATCACAATGTTGGAACTGATAAGGGAATATCTTATGTATAGGATCCAAAGAAGACCAGCTGCAATGGGGAAATACAAGGGCTCCACTGGACCTTTAATTAATGAAATTGTTGAGACTAGGGTCAAACATTCAAGTCAGTGGATGCCCATTTGGAATGCACTGCATTGCTATCAAGTCAAGGGTCCAAGAGAGGCCCAATTTGCAGTAGATATGCAAATAAATAAATAAATAAATATATATATATATTGTACTTGCAGATTATGGGAGGTTAGTGGAATTCCATATTATCATGCAATTGCTGCTATCTTGATGCGAGAAGAGAATCCTTACAATTATCTGGATCATTCTTATAGCAGAGGCCTCTTCTTCAAGATTTATGAGAATGTTTTGCAACCAATTAGTGGCGAGAATCATTGGCCCCCATCCACCATGCCTATGTTGGATCCGCCAACATCAGTTACTCAACCAAATAGGCCTAGAAAGGCCAAGAGAAGGGATGTGACTGAGGGGAGAGATCATGGTAGAAGATTGAGAAGGAGGATTGTCATTCATTGTAGAAAATGTGGTGAGGTTGGCCATAACACAGCTACGTGCAAGAAACCTCCCAATGAAGAAATCAACAAGGTTGTAATAGGTCATCTGAGGCTCAACCTAGTAATCAGCAAAGGCAGCAACCAGCAGAAAAAGGAAGGACAGTAGTAAGTGCATTAAGTTGTTAATTTTTCATAATTCTCTATCTGTCATGTACTTACACATATCGGTTGACAATCTCATAGGAATCACCAACCAAACCAGTCTTCTCAAAATTTGCAATAACAAACTCAACAAGCTAACGATGAAGTTGGACAGCAACATCCACAACAGGGCCAACAACAACATCATTCACAGCGAAAACAATTTAGAAAAAACTTAGCTACAAAGCTGCTTGCCGATGCAGAAAAAGGAACCATCAATGCTAACTATGCTTATTTGGATAAAGAACTCCCATTCACAGTTGGCAACTGGATGGGGAGATGGAGTGGAAGAGGCGGGGGCAGAGGAAGACAAGGTGAAAGAGGAATGGGAAAAGGAACAACCACTAGAAGAGGAACTCAGCCATGATAGACCAAACTTTTTGACAAACTCTTTTTGTCTTATGCTGTGTAAACTAATGGTAACAATTCATTACCATATCAAAACATGTTTTGTGTCTAGTAGTTCTTCTTTGTTTTTTTTTTGTGTCTAGTAGTTCTGTGTTGGTAACATATTGATCCTGCTTTGTATTATAGCCAACTTGTGATGCTCTTAAATGTAGAGAAATTCCTAATTTTATGATAAAATTTAAAATTTTTATAGCTTGGTTTTGAATTACTTCATAAATGTAGTACGCAAGTGATTAATATGATATAACATGGCTTTATCTACTCCTTCGTATTGCACCATTATTATGACTTTTTCTAACTACAATACAAAACAATTCATTGAGTCAAATAAATAAACTACAACACTTTTATTTAATAAAAAGAGATAGCCAGATATTTCATTGGGACAACCACAAACACAAATTTCATTACAAACTTTGCGGATACATCATACAATTATAAATAAAAAATTTGCATTAAAAGGAACAATTTGGAACATCTTTTTCCCCTACAACCTTCAACTTGCTAAGGGCCAGGTGTTTGTAAGCACCTTCTATTTGCCGAAAACTGACAAGGTTTCCATTTTTTGGCCCCAACTCATCAAAATTTTAAAAAAATCAATATCCATGTTAAGAAAAGCAATCTCACCAGTAACTTATTAACCCATTTCTTATAATGAATTTCTTTCTCCCATTCTTTAACTTTTTCCTTCAATTTTGTTACCTTTCTTTCATTTCTTCTTGTTATTTCTTCATATTCATCTCTGTCCTTTTCAGTTGCATTCATCTTTCGAAGAAGGCCAGGTATAATTTCCGTCTACCGTCGGCACATCTCCTTATCGATCCATGCCCAATATTCGCAGCAACCTTCCGTGCACATAGCAAACCTTCGCCTAGGTTTTTTTGAAGTCCACAAAGTAATCACCATAGTCTCTTTGTCACATTTGCACACTGGTAGAGGGGAACTATTCATTCTTCGCATTTTCAGCTCCAACTTTGGCTGGAATGGAGATTTTTCTTGCTCTAACATAAGGTAAGGGAAGAAGTTATCCTTTTACTCTCTCTTTGCTTGGTAAACCCTCCTTTGGAGACTATAATGCCCTTAATATTTGGTCGTGCATCTCACGAGATACTACTTCCCGTCAATTTTAACTGTTGGGTTTGATAGAAGGGTTACAAATATGCTGTTTATATATCGAGGGCCAAAACTTTACTGTTAATTATTGGAAGGCTGAAACTTTATCTGGAAAAGAGTTGGAGAGACATTGGGATTTTTTTCCCCGACTATTAACTACTCTTGCTTTTGATATTAACTTTGTTACCTACTCTACAATTTGTCTTCCCAGTTCCAGTCGCAACATCTTGTTCTTCTCAGAAGAAAAAATATTGAGGAATACAAAGCATCTACTAATACATGGCTACTAAGCAAAGAGGAAATAAGAGATCGCTCAACCCGACCCTCAATCATCATACCTAGAAGCCTCCATATTATTGGAAACTTTTCAAAATTTGTATGATGTACATACATGTATTTAATGTATATTCATGTTTTTTGGTACATGTATAGTATTGTGAATGTTTCTATTATGTACATTCATTTATGAATGTATTCATGTATATGTGAATTCTTGAATGAAATGATAGATTCATGTTTTGATCTTAAGATCATGAGATGCATGAATTAAAGTGCATGAATTTGTACACAATACTTTCAATCTATTCATATAAGTATTTAATGAGTTTTTTTGTTTCTCAAACAATCTTCCTATATAAAGAGGTCAAGTAGAGAGTGGTTTACTGCAAAAAATCACTTTCCTACTATTGTATACTCTCTCAAAAGCACTCCTTAGTTCAAAAGGGTTTGTCTTACTTTGTGCAAGAGTGTAAGACAAACAAATTTCACCTTATCCTAAAGGATATTTGTCTAAGGTTATTGCACGTTATATCGGACAAATAAAGTCTAAAGAAAAGTGATATCTATCACGATTTGAAGTCAATTCTTGTCACCATATTTGCCAGTCCTTTGCAATTTACCTAACAATCTTTAAGATTTAATTGATACTCGACAATGGTTGGTACCCTGAAAGAGTTGGCATCCAACATTATCAAGCTTAAGAGGTTTGATGGAGGAAATTTCATTCGTTGGAAAAAATGTGTTCGTTTCCTTCTCACTACACTCAAAGTGGTCTATGTTTTGACTACACCAAAATCATTGATCAATCCCGAGGAAAAAACTCTTGAAGACATCCGAAAACGTCAGGAATGGGAGAACGACGATGAAATATGCCGTGGTCACATCCTCAATACCATGAGTGACAGCCTGTTTGATGTCTACCATTCAATTACTACAGCTAAGGAACTTTGGGATCGTTTGGAGTCCAAGTACATGCAAGAAGATGCTACAAGTAAGAAGTTTCTTATCTCATCTTTTAATAATTATAAAATGGTAAATAGTAAGTCTGTTATGGAGCAAGTTAGTGAGATTGAAAGGTTTATTAATCACTTCACACAACACAATCTACACATGGATGAAGCCATTATTGTTTGCTCTATAATAGATAAGTGACCACCTTCATGGAAAGATTTCAAGAAAGACATCAAACATAAGAAAGAGGATATCTCTCTTGAGGTTCTTGCTAAATCTCTTCGAGTAGAAGAGAAAATTCGCATGCAAGAAAAGAAGGATACTCAAATCCTTGATGAGAACAAAGATTTTACTTCAAAAGTGCATGTGATTGAAGAGAGACAAACTGAAAAGTCTCAAGGATGTAAGAAGGGCCAACAACCTAAGAATCAATCTAAGAAAAGAAAGAAAGGACAATGCTTCTATTGCAAGAAAGAAGGACATTACAAGTCCGAGTGCAAGATTCTTCAAAACAAGAAGAAAAAACAAGAGTCTTCCCAAAACACAAGCAAAAATCTTGTGGCAATGATCTCTGAAATCAATATGATTGAAGATGATTTTGCTTGGTGGGTTGATTCTGGAGCTACGTGACACGTGTGTAACAATAGAACGTTCTTCAAATCCATAAAACCGGTGGATGAAAGCATCGTTGTTTACATGAAAATTCTGCTACAATTTTTGTTCAAGACATTGGAGAAGTAGAATTAAAATTTACTTCCGGCAATGTTGTAACCTTGACAAATGTGTTTTATGTACCGGAAGTTAGGAAGAACTTGGTGTCGGCTAGTTTGTTAATAAATTTGACTTTAGACTTGTGTTTGAAACTGACAAATTTATTTTGTCTAAATGTGGTATGTTTGTAGACAAGGGTTATCTTTGCAATGGAATGTTTAAACTGAATGTACTTGCTATTAGAAATTATAAGAATGATATTGTTTCTACGTATTTGGTTGAATCTTCTTTTGAATTGTAGCATAATAGGATTGGCCATGTTAATTACAAAAGAATGCATGAAATGATGAGACTTGATTTACTGCCATATTGTGATAAGATTGAAGGAAAATACAAAACATGCATGCTAACGAAAATCACAAGAAATTCATTTTCTAAAGTTGAAAGATCATCTACAATCTTGGATCTTATTCATAGTGATATATGTGATTTGCATGATACTCTTATTTTGGGTGGTAAAAATTATTTTGTGACTTTTATTGATGATTATAGAAGATACTGTCATGTTTTCTTGTTACACTCAAAAGGTGAAACATTGCAAAAATTTAAAACATACAAATCAGAAGTTGAATTTCGTTGTGAATCCTTTATCAAATGTCTAAGGATAGATAGAGGTGGAGTTTTTATGATATTACCTATTTTAAGTTTGTTGGAATAAAACATGAGGTGACTGCTCCTTATACACCACAGCAAAATGGTGCAGCCGAGAGGAAAATCGTGTATTGATAGAAATAGTTAATGCACTTTTGTCAAAATCTGGACTAAGTCAAGAATTTTGGGGTGAAACCTTGTTAACGGCTAGTCATATCCTAAATAGAGTTCCTAATAAAAGGAGTTCTATACCTCTTATGAATTGTGAAATAAAAGGAAGCCCAACCTAAACTATTTGAAAGTTTGGGGTTGTAGGGCTGTTGTAAAACTCCCCAAATCTAAAAAAGGAAATTGAAAGAAAGAGGTATGGATTGTATATTCTTAGAATATGTACAAAATAGCAAATCATGTAGGTTCATGGTAATTAAATCTAATGATTCAATTTCGGTTAATACCATAATAGAATCTAGAGATGTTATTCCAAAACCAAGTGAATTGACAAAAGATGGTGAAAATAAAACCATTGAATTGAGAAGGAGCAAAAGAGCTAGAAAGTCAAAGGACTTCGGTTCGGACTTTTATATGTATCTAGTTGAAGGAACTAGAGATGCAGTGAGCAACCAAATTTCATATTGCTTCAATACTGAAACTGATCCCAAAACCTATGAAGAAACAATGAACTCACAAGATGCTCCCTTTCGAAAGGAAGCTATTAATGATGAGATGGACTCAATCATGGGTAATAAAACCTGAAAATTAGTAAACTTACCACCTGATTCAAAACCAATTGGTTGTAAGTGGATCTTCAAGAAGAAAATGAAGATCGATGGAACTATTGATAAGTTCAAGACCAGGTTGGTTGTCAAAGGGTTCACACAAAAGTATGGTGTGGACTATTTTGACACATATTCTCCAGTAGCTAGAATTGTTACAATCAGAGTGCTACTTGCTGTAGCTTCTATCCAAAATCTAGTCATTCACTAAATGGATGTTAAGACAGCATTCTTGAATGGTGATTTGGATGAAAAAATATATATGAAGCAACCCGAAGGGTTTGTGATATCTGGTCAAGAGCATAAGGTATGTAAACTTGTAAAGTTTTTATATGGACTAAAGCAAGCACCGAAGCAATGGCATCAGAAATTTGATCAAGTTATTCTTACCAGTGGATTCAAAATAAATGAATCTGGTAAATGCATTTATAGCAAGTTTAGTGATGACAAAGGTGTCATAATTTGTTTATATGTTGATGACATGTTAATTTTTGGGACTGACTTGAAACAAGTTGAAGTCACAAAAACCTTGCTTTCAAGCAAATTTGACATGAAAGACATGGGTGAGGCAGATGTTATTTCTGGTATAAGAATTTTCAAACATGATAACAATATAATATTGTCTCAATCACATTATATTGAAAAGATTATTAACAAATTCAATCAAAGTGATTGTATTCCAGTCTCAACACCATTGGACCCTAAAATAAACTTTGTGAAAAATGAGGGCGATCCAAAATATCAAATGGAATATGCCAAAATTATAGGGCGCTTAATGTATGCAATGACTTGTATTAGATCTGATATTGCATATGCAATTGGTATATTGAATAGATATACAAATAACCCTAATAGGTTACATTGGCAAGGTATAACCAGAATTTTAAAGTATTTAAAGGCCACTAAGAACTATGGTATATGTTATACCAGTTATCCTTCAGTTTTAGAAGGATTTTCAGATGTTAGTTGGATCACCAATAAAGATGATCACTCGTCGACAAGTGGTTGGATCTTTGTGCTTGGTGGAGGTGTAATTTCTTAGGGCTCTAAGAAACAGACTTGTATCACCAATTCAACAATGGTAGCAGAGTTTGTAGCACTTGTTTCGGCTTGTAAAAAAACTGAATGGCTTGTAATTTACTTTGTGGTATACCATTGTAGCCAACACTTTTGTCGTCTATTCTAATCCATTGTGATAGTGCAGCTACACTTGCTAAAGCATATAATCAAGTGTATAATGGTAAGTCAAGACATATCGATTTAAGACATAGTTATGTCAAAGATTTGATCACAAATGGAGTCATATCAATTGATTTTGTGAGATCAAATAAAAATTTGAGTGATCCTTTGACAAAAGGATTATCAAGGAATTTGGTGTCAAGGACATCAAAGGGGATGGGTTTAAAGTCCAAAATTCTTGATCACTAATGGTGGAACCTCAATTCAATGCTAGATACAACGTCTAGTCTTGAATTCAATGAGTAAAAGTACACCATTCTAGTGGTTGGTGCACTATGTGAAGTTTAGACATCCCAATGTTGAATAGTGCATATTATTCTTGCCAGTGCAAATGTAAGAGTGAGTCATTGGACTCTTAACGGATTTTAAAAGTTCTGTCTATGGCGGGGGCACTAAGATGTCGCCTATATGAATATTGGTTTTCGGCAAACCACAAAGTTAAGAACTTTACTTTGTAACATTCATGAAAGGATAGTGATACAAGGCCGTAAAATGTATCGTTGAAGAACTTATGGTTGTGCATTGCTCAATGTGTGATGTGTTTATGAGGTTGGTCCAATGTTCAAGTGGTTCAAAGCTTATCTACCATCTTGAAGGATTGATTTCAAAGAACCTTCACTAAGATAGTGGCTTAATCGAAAGACACCATTATTTATGCATACGAATGTCAGATTATTCAGTGACTTTTTAGAAATCCATTTTCTAAATTTTGAAAATAATGGGGGATTGTTGGAAACTTTTCAAAATTTGTATGATGTACATACATGTATTTAATGAATATTCATGTTTTTTGGTATATGTATAGTATTGTGAATGTTTCTGTTATGTACATTCATTTATGAATGTGTTCATGTATATGAAAATCCTTGAATGAAAGGATAGATTCATGTTTTGATCTTAAGATCATGAGATGCATAAATTAAAGTGCATGAATTTGTACACAATATTTTGAATCTATTCATATAAGTATTTAATGAGTTCTTTTGTTTCTCAAACAATCTTCCTATATAAAGAGGTCAAGTAGAGAGTGGTTTGCTGCAGAAAATCACTTTCTTACTATTGTATACTCTCTCAAAAGCACTCCTTAGTTCAAAAGGGTTTGTCTTGCTTTGTGCAAGAGTGTAAGACAAACAAACTTCATTTTATCCTAAAGGATATTTGTCCAAGATTATTACACGTTATACCGGACAAATAAAGTTTAAAGAAAAGTGATATATATCACGATTTGCAATCAATTCTTGTCACCATATTTGCCAGTCCTTTGCAATTTACTTAACATACATTTCTTCAAAGTCGTGCTTTCTTCTGCGGACCAAGGCATAGTAAGTAGCTATTACTAGTGTAACAGTACTAAATATTGGCACTTTATATTGTTTCAATGATGTGAACTTGTGGATTATAGCCATTTCTGTTGCTGATGATTCAAAATTCAGAGAATGCCAACTGCATTTATGAGAGATTATAGAGAGAGTTTGGAGCAGGTTGTGCTTTTGAAGGTTTCAAGTGGAGCTTCGTGGCCAATAGAATTGATCCAAATTGAATTTGGCACTTGGTTGGACAAAGGGTGGAAGGATTTTGTTGAGTATTATTCCATTAGAGAATGCCATTTCTTGGTGTTCAAATACAGTGGGGGTTCCCAGTTCCAAGTTATCATATTCAATCCATCTACTTCAGAAATTGAATATCCTCTCGAAGCCCCTGAGGACCACGGTAAGCATGATTATTAGAACCAGCCGCCATTGAGGAGAAGGACCATGTTTCAGAAATCTGATGGAAGTTGAATCTGATGATGATTCCTTTGAAATCTTGGGGGAAGTTCCAGCATGCCACACCAAATAGGGGCGAAAATCAGCTCAGATTCATGAGAAACAAGGTTCTGATCGCAGAAAAAATGAGAATGTTGAAAAGTTGGATGTAGATGTCAATCCACCTCAAAAGATGATCAAAAGTAATTTTCTCCAATGAACTATTTTTATTCTTCTTTGCGTGACCATGTACTAATAAATCAGTTTGATTGATGTTAATCTAGAGGTTAACTTGCTTGATTTGTCTGCAGAAGAAAGTTATGAAGGAGTGCCCAGTACTCCTCAATTTGCAATTGCCAAAAGTGAAAACAGTGATTGATAAAAACAAGTTTATACATTACCAAAGAGCAAAAACTTTCACGTTTGAGAATCCATTCTTCATAAGTTTCATGTAACTATCTTCTTTTATCTAACTTTCGTGCATTAACACCTCTAGTGATTTGTCTAATCA